AAAAAAAAAAAATAATAATAATAATAAGCATTTGGGGAAACAGGAGAAGGTTTAAATAATTATTAAAAGAATGAATGAGTAAATGAACTTGGGAATGTATGATTGTCAGGTAGCATTAAGAGCCTATTTGATATTCTTGTTTATGAGTTTAAGATGAATCCAGTTAGCATGACTCTATTTTTCTCCATGGGTATAGGCACAGAGTAGGTGAAGAGTTGGGTTTTACCAGGGTTGGGATTTACCAAGTATAATGATAGAGAGCAAAGCAACAGAATTAAGAATGGAAAAGTTGGGCTGGGTGCGGTGGCTCTTGCCTGTAATCTGAGCACTCTGGGAGACTGAGGTAGGTGGATTGCCTGAGCTCAGGAGTTCAAGACCAGCCTGAGCAAGAGCAAGACTGGTCTCTAAAACAGCCAGGCGTTATGCCAGGTACCCGTATTCCCAGCTACTCAGGAGGCCGAGGCAAGAGAATCACTTGAGCCCAAGAGGTTGCTGTGAGCTATGATGCCCTAGTACTCTACGGAGGTCAATAAAGTGAGACTCTGCCTCAAAAAATTAAAAAATGAAAGAGTGATGATTCTGGACTTTGGTTGATTGTGTAAGATTATTGTGAATGAGAGCAAGAGGGAGGTGTTAGGATGGATAGATTATAAATCCTATTAGAGTTAATTGTTAGAATTGGGATATGAGAGGGAGCAAGTTGAGAAAAAAAGGGTCATCTTCAAGTGCTTGAAATTGAGATTATGGAGGTGTTGCAGTTATGAGAGTATATAGAAGTGCTAATAATTAAGACAGTAGTTAGGCTCGGTGCCTGTGGCTCAAGTGGCTAAGGCGCCAGCCACATATACCTAAGGTGGCGGGTTCGAATCCAGCCCTGGCCCGCCAAACAACAATGATGGCTGCAACCAAAAAATAGCCTGGCGTTGTGGTGGGCGCCTGTGGTCCCAGCTACTTGGAAGGCTGAGGCAGGAGACTCACTTGAGCCCAGGAGTTGGAGGTTGCTGTGAGCATTGAAGCCAGGGCACTCTACCCAGGGGCTCAGCTTGAGGCTCTGTCGCAAAAAAAAAAAAGACAGTAGTTAGGTGAGAGAAAGGGATGGTGAACCACAAGTTAAGATATTCAAGTAATAGTACTATCATCCATTGATTCATTGAAATAAAATGGGTAGTGATGTAGTTTAATGACTATGAGATTGAAGGCTGGAATAGGAAAGAGATGTAACAACTATAATGCAAATTCTGTATTCTTCATTATTCTGAAGTAAAATAGTTGTTGAAGAGTTTCAAGTAAAGATTTACAAATGTTAAGAGTTAATTTCTTAATTGCTATCTTATGTAACTAAATAACAAAATGGTTAGAAAACTTATTTATTACAGATTATATAGATAACAGATTTTTCATGGACTGTTATAAATAATAAGCTTCTGTATTTTAACAGATGGGAAATAAGACTAGGATTGCAAAATGTCCTTTAAGAATGAAACAAACTGGACACATTCTAAAATCAACACAAAATACTTATATCGAGAGTGAAAACCTTTTGCAAAAGAAGATAGTTGGTTCAGAAACTTCACAGCCAAAAAGTGAAAAAGACAAAATGACTTTTTCACCCACTAAGGATTTATGTAAGCAATATATAAATAAAGACTGTCTTCACGTTCCGAAGGAGATTTCCCCTGCCACTTTTGATATACAGAAGGCTAGAAACACTATAAGTGCATCTCCAGGAGCTAAACAGAAGCCTCATAACGAACACATCACAGCTGGAAACACAGAGGGCAGTTTGGTGTGTCTAACACAAGACCAGTTACAACAGATTTTAATGACTGTAAACCAAGGAAATAGATCTTCTTCCCTGACTGAGAATGGAACAAAGGAGGAAAAAAGTAAGATTACTCTAAAGTTTTGATAAATGTTAATTTTCTCATGCATTTCAAAATTTCATTTTTGTTGGGTTTTATGTAACTGTGCCTGTTATATTCTAATTTAGTATGTAATAAGCTTAGGAAATAATTATTTTAGAGGACTTTCCCTAATATGTAAAATTGTTATATTTTTATAGTTATCATGTTCCATATTTTAAGGTTAATGCTCAGAATATATTCTTACACAGCATAGCCTTGAGGAAACCTGGTTTCTTAGTACTTAAAATAAAGATGTTAGTCCAAAAAAACCATTGTACTTATTTTTAACTGTTGGAGACTTATAACTCTACTATAGTACTTCTGGTGAAAATTATGGGAACCTTAGTATGAAGGTTTGACTTGAGTTGCTGAAAAGTATTGCTCTCCTGAATCTGCTTATCTGGTCCCTCAATCCATGCTAAGGGGTGGCAGATGTGAAAGGAGCAGTAGAATGTTATGTGTTTTTTCTTTCACAAGTCAGGGCATTGTATTATGTTTTTAAAAGCCTTTAATTTCTACTTGGAGATGAAGAATTATGAATATGAAGATATTGGAAATATTAAAATTTTATTAGGTAGTAGTGAAATTAAAAAATTAATAGTTCACATGGAGAGGCCCCACAGGGGCCAGGTAACTCCTGTACATTCCTAAAATACTCAAGATGGAGTTACTTACCTTCTCTAGGGAAGGAGTTTTTTTAATAAAATGAGGAGGCTGGATTTCATCTTTAAGGCTAAAATTCTAGCTTAGCGAACAAAAAGTAGCAGCTTATTAGGCATAATGAGAGATATTGTCAACAAAGTTAAAACAAAGTTTGCCTAATCATGTAATGGCCTCCATATTGGATATGCTTTCTCTTCATTGGGAGAACTAGCACATTCAGGAGAAATTAGAACAGTTCTTCAAGCCACCATATAACCTTCAATAAAACATTTGGTTTAGAAATATAGTTGGAACATAAAAGACAATAGTTTTCCATGATTTCACAGCTAAATGAGAATAATTAAGGTAATGAGTTTTTATTAATCTATTTGCGTTTATTTCTCTTAGGTTGTTATTTGTGGTATATTTGTGAAAGTATGTTGGTAAGAGTAAATGAAGATTTATTTTTCTGTTGCTTATTTTCTTCCCTATTTAATCTAAGAAGTTGTTTGGCTATGGCCATGAGCAACCCATTCAACTTCTACTCAGTTTCCTGTTTTTGTTTTTTTTTTTTGACAGAAAAGAAACATAATACCTACCTCTAAGATGTTTGTGAGAGTTAAATTAAGTAATTTATAAGAGTTTTTAAAACTATATAGCAATATGCCAAGATGAGGTATTATAATAATTATAATTTAGTGTTAGTTTTAAAACAATATTTTATTTCCTAGGTCAGTATAATCTACATTTAAATAATATTCCTAACCAACTGAAAGATGAAAACATGGGATTACTCCAGAAACCTAAGGCTGTTTCATCTTTCCCAGATGAAAATAAATCTGTCTTAAATAAAAATCAGGAGAAGTCTACACAATATGAAGAGAAAATTGCCGTGTATGTAACTCAGTCTGTTATTATGGGGTCATCTTCAGGATATGGTTGTGTTTTTCCTTTCCTTGCATGTGAAATATTTATTCTGAAGACTTAGAGCTTTAAACAATTTATTACTTAATATTTATGAAGTCAGCTGTGTAGAAACATAATAAGGTTTCTGTTATTTTTTGTGTTTTGCTTTAGAGAGAATGAATGGAAACCAGCTGATATATTCAGTACTCTGGGGGAAAGGGAACATGATAGAAGCTTGTTGGAAGCAAAAAAAGCCCAGTGGAGAAAAGAGCTAGGTAGGTAATTTTTATACCTTTTATTCTAATTCAGTTATCTTAAGAACTGTATGTTGAGGATGAAGTTGTAGGGTTTAAGGGAAAACTTCCCCTTTGCCCTCTGAAGATTTGCTAACAAAAGGCAGATGAATAAGAGAAAAGACATACAAATTTATTAATGTGCATGAGAGACTTGCAAAATAGAAGAACTCAAAGAAATGGCTAGGTGGTTGATGCTTTTCTACTATCTTGAGGTTGTTGAAAGAATGGAAGCATGGACAGAGTGCAATCACTCATGCCTGTAATCCTAGCATTCTGGGAGGCAGAGGCTGGAGGATCCCTTGAGCTCATGACTTGGAGACCAGCCTGAGCAAGAAGGAGACCCATCTCTACTAAAAACAGAAAAATTAGCCAGGAGTGGTGGGTAATGCCAGTAGTCCCAACCACTTTGGAGGCTGGGGCAGGAGGATCCCTTGAGCCCAGGAGTTTGAGGTTGCTGTGAGATAGGCCTGGGCAACAGAGAGACTCTTTTTGTTGTTCAGAGTCTCACTATGTCGCCTTCAGTAGAGTGCTGTGGTGTCACAGCTCATAGCAAGCTCACACTATTGGGCTTTAGTGATTCTCTTGCTTCAGCCTCCCTAGTAGCTGGGATTACAGGAGCCTACCACAACACCTGGCTATTTTTTGTTGCAGTTGTCGTTTAGCTGGCTGAGGCCGGGTTTGAACCTGCCCCCCTCCGCATATGTGGCTGGCTGTGGAATGTACGCTGAGCCTTGAGACTATGTCTTAAAAAAAAAAAGGAAAGTGTGGAGCATGAAAAAGCAGCTAATGAAGAGAGGAGTCCTGACTCCCCAAAGTGGTCTTTTTTATGCAGATGAAACTTCACTGGTAGCAGCCCCCAGAATACTGTAGGCAGTAAATGTTTCTTTTTGCCCTTTAAAGGTGCCAGACTCTCAGTTAATCTTTTCTACATCTGGACAAAGAAGGGCCTCCAGAGAAAGCCTGGCTGCATCAATGCAGATTTTCTCTGCAGAGGAAATTTCCATACAAGACAGCTCTGCAAGGCTAGTTCTGTTTGCAGGCCATTTCAAAATACAAGAAATGTATTTTGAGATGAAACATTATGGTTTCTTCAAAGCAAACTGGTCCCTGGCTTGGTGCCTGTAGTTCAGTGGTTAGGGCACCGGCCAGATGCACAGGGGCTGGTGGGCTCGAACCTAGCCAGGGCCTGCTAAACAACAATGACAAAATAACAGAAAAATTTTTAAAAAGCCACATGTTGTGGCAGGCACCAGTAGTCCCAGCTACTAGGGAGGCTGAGGCAAAAGAACCACTTAAGCCTGAGAGTTTGAGGTTGCTGTGAGCTGTGATTCCATGGCATTCTACCGAGGGTGACATGGTACAACTCTGTCTCAAAAAAAAAGAAGAAAAGGAAACTGGTCTCTATCTGAGGGATAAGTTCCGGGATCTCCATCTCCAATACCAAAATGCATGGATACTGAAGTCTCTTATACAGGGTGGCCATAAAGTTTGTGAGCAACTGCACATGAACTTTATGGCCACCCTGTATAAAATGGTATGTGGTATTTGCATATAATTTGTGCACATCCTCACACACACTTTAAGTCATCTCTAGATTACTTATAATGCCTAAAACGATGTAAATGCTATGTAAATAGTTATGCTGTATTGTTTAGGGAATATTGATGGACTGTACATGTTCAGTATAGGTGCAACCATTCATTTTCCCCCCACATATTTTCAATCTGCAATTGGTTGAATCCATGGATGTGGATCCTACAGATGTGAAGGGCTAACTGTATATCTTTCAGTATATTACCCAGAGTCTTGTTTTTATAGCATTTGATATCTAGAGTAGTTCTCTGCAAATGCAGAAGTTTTGTGGTTTCATTTTGCCTTAGGTTGTATCTTTTTATTTGGTACTCTATGGTGTACACCAAAACATTCATGTCACCAGTATCATTCTGGAGCCCCTATAACTCAAACAAAGATTTTTAAGCTTTTCTCATTTCCTGAATCTTTTTTTTCATATTTTTTCATTGTAGAAATCCTGGGTAAAAGGATGGTTTTATTAAAAAATTTGATTTTATTTTTTAAAATAACCAAACATTCCAATCAAGAATAATCAATATGGTATCAATCATTTACTCTAGACAGAAGTAAACTTAGTTCATTATGTCAGCCTGTGGACCGAGTAACAGAAAAATTTATAATTTCTGTTAGTCTTGACATTTTGTTAATAACTAAAGAACAATTATTATTTCATAGACTGAATTTAGGGTTCAGGTGAGTGAAATAATAGTTGTATTTTTTAGGAATAGGCCAAACTAAAGGCATGAGATGAAGTTCCATTCAACTAGGAAGTCTTGTGAGGCAATCACCAATCTTGCTGGAGTGACTTAGAAAAAGAGATAAGCAGCAGAAATAGGGAATGGATTCATGCTGAAGTTAAGATAATGGAAGAATGAAGAAAGTAAATTTGTGGTAGCAATATCAGAAAGTTGGGAGGTCTGATGTACATTTATATCAAAATATAATACAAAATTTCTGAAATAAGGTAGAACTACTTGGAACTCTTAGCAAAGAGTTGGAACTACTTGATACTCTTAGCAAAGCACATCTCATTAAGTCATGCTTCCATTAATCTATTTGGAATGTAAGTTTTTGAATCTCTGAATTTTGTATTTAAAGAACTGTTGATTTGGGGGTTAGTCTTGACTGTATCTGTCAGACATAGAATTGATGTGTTTTACTTTTCAGCAATTAATGAGAAGTAACAGCTGACATTTATTGAATATTTACATTGTGCCAGGCCCTGTACTGAAATAGGCACTATCACTAGCCCCATTTTATAGAAGAAACTGAAGTTTAGAGAAGTTAACAGCAATTTGCTCATAATCACTTATTCAAGAAGGTTAAATTTGAATTTGACCCCGGGGGTTTGTTGTTTTTTTGTTTTTTGAGACAGAGTCACACATTGTCACCCTTGGTAGAGTGCTGTGGCGTCACAGGTCACAGCAATTTCAAACTCTTGGGCTTAAGCAATTCTCTTGCTTCAGCCTCCCAAGTAGCTAGGACTACAGGAACCTGCCACAATGCCCAGCTATTTTTTTTGTTGCAGTTGTCATTGTTTGGCTAGCCCAGGCTGGGTTACAAACTGCCAGCCTGGGTGTATATGGCTGGCGCCCTACCCACTGAGCTACAGGCGCTGCCCTAAAACAAGCATTTTTACATTCATTGTACTGTACTTAAGTTTGGTTCTTACTAAATTTTTTCCTTTATTTCCCTAAAAATTTCTCTCTGCCCTGTGAGTCAGTCTCCTCCCTAAAAAACAGTTTTGATTAGATCTTTGTTGGAATCTGCTTTCATTAAGAAAGTTCTGATTTGGCAGGGCACAGGGGCTCACACCTATAAACCCAGTTCTCTGAGAGGCCAAGGTGGGTGGAATCCTGAGCAAATTTTTTTTAGTCTCTACTAAAAAATTGAAAAACTGAGACAAGAGGATCTCTTGAGCCCAAGAGTTTGAGGTTGCTGTGGGCTAAGATGGTATCACGGCACTCTACCCAGGGCAACAGTTTGAGACTCTGTCAAAAAAAACAGTCATGATTTGTTTACATAATTCTTCCTTCACAGTTTTTGTACAATTTTTAAAAAGGACATTGTTTACAGATGAACAGGTTGCTTTGAAGAAGAAAGAAAAAGAAGCTTCTGAAAAATGGAATGATCCTTGGAAAAAATCTGAAAATGATAAAATAACATGGGAAAAACTTGAAATTCTTGAACAATCTAGGGTAAGAGTATCAAAAAAAATGAGTATCAAAAGCAAGTATTTATGGAACATAAGGCATCTGAATTACAGTTTTTAAAATGCTAAGGTTTATACGATAAAACTTAATTTTTAAAGCTTTTTTTTTTTTTTTTTTTGAGACAGGATGTTATTATGTCACCCTCAGTAGAGGCGTCACAGTTCACAGCAACCTCAAACTCTTTGGCTTAAGCGATTCTCTTACCTCAGCCCCCCAAGTAGCTGGGACTTACAGGCACCCTCCACAATGCCCAGCAATTTTTTTGTTGTTGCAGTTGTCATTGTTGTTTAGCTGGTCCAGGCTGGGTTCAAACCCACCAGCCCCAGTGCATGTGGCTGGTGCCATAACCACTGTGCTACTGGCACCAAGCCTTTAAAGCTTATTTTTTAAGAAAATCCTTTTCATATGGAAACCAGTATTATTTTGAACTTAATTATGATCTCAACTAGTCTCTGTTTTCTTTCTGTAAGTTGTCTTGCTGTTTTGCTAAATTGAGTGTGGAGACCCTAAGCACTTCCTTTAGGCTCTTATAAAGGAGCTCTGCAATTTTTTAAATGAATGCAAAACTCTGCCACTAACCATGTGATATCCACCACAGGTTATCTGATCAAATGTAAATGTTTATCAAACATATACTGGGTACCCTTTTATGATCATTAAATGTTGTCTGTGTTTAATTTTAGATAAAGGACCCTTGTTTTTTCTATTTGTTTTTAGACTTCTGCTAGCTCCTCAAGCGTTCTATCACAGTCTCCTAGTCAGGTTTCAGTGGGCCAGGCTGATGGACATTCACTACTTAGACCTAGTCAAATTTTAGAGGTAAGTCTTAACTTATCAGTATTTTGAATGGTTAAACCCTTTAATACTTTACCTCTATCTGACCTGTTTTCCTTGAAGAAGTGGATCTAAATCTTCTTTATTTTTAATTACCAGTTAATTTTTACTGAGTATATTACACAGCTTAAATTTTTAAAAAGTTACTAACTACTTCTTTTTTTGCTAATTGAGTATGGAGACCCTAAATTTTTACATGTAATCCCTTTCTCCTTGTGAACATTTATATTTTAACAAATATATTCTAAAAATAGTGCAGTAACCTATTCTGATGGTAGCAATTTTTCTCACTATGCCCTAATTAGGTAGATCTCTTCCAGAACCCCTTCAAGTTGGATTGTGCATGGCTGGCTTTTCTGCTCCACCTAGGGCTGACTTGCCTGCCTCACACACTTTTATCTGTTGATAATTTTACATCAAGAAAAGTAATGAAGTATGAATTGCATTTGTAGTCCCCAAAGCATTTTGACTAAAAAGACAATAAATTCATCTTGATAGAAGTTTTTTTGGAAAAATCTAGAGGATGGTTGAAAATTTTAAGTATGTGAAATTTAGAAGTTGATGTATGCATATATCAGTGAAAGTGCAACTAAAACTTAATTTTTCATGAAGTTGATAAGTATCAGTTGTTAGCTTATTTATTTTCAACATCAGGTTTGAGGAATCTTTAATGTTAAAGATGTTAAAATTTTTCATTTATCAAATTTTAGGTTGAAATGTTAGTATGTTAGTATATGTTAGTATATTATTATTTCTCAATTTATATGGCTTTCCAGGCCATTTATTACCTGGGCGTAAACCATACTATTATTATTAATGCAAGTAAAGAATTATTTAAGGTAACTTTTAGGTTTTAAAAAATTTTATATATGGGGCAGTACCTGTGGCTCAGTGAGTAGGGTGCCAGCCCCGGCCGAACTGCAACAAAAAAATAGCTGGGCATTGTGGCTGGCACCTGTAGTCCCAGCTAATTGGGAGGCTGAGGCAAAAGAATCACCAAAGCCCAGGTTGCTGTGAGCTGTGTAACGCCATGGCACTTTACCCAGGGCGATAAAGTGAGACTCTGGCTCTACAAAAAAAAAAAAAAAAATTATATATGTATTTTTAGTGATAGCTTGTATTTTTTAATAGTCAAAAAAACCAATAAAATTATTCTTATTTAGGAGTTAGAAGTGGGAGGTTGATGGGGAGAGGAGAACTAGAAAGGGAAACATACTAAATTTAGGGATGGATAACCAAGAGTGTGATTATCTGCTCATTCTTTTACTATTTTTTTTTTTTTTTTTTTT